CAAAACATTCGGTGCAGTACAAATTCAAATATCAGTTTGATTGCAAATCAAATAGACTCAAACTTCGATATAAAAAATATACCAATGTCCCGAAAAATTCGTCACGGACAGGTCTTCGTGATGTGCACTTTCAGCACTAAATCGAAAAAATAAATGCACAAATTAAACAAGAAAGGAACTTTACTTATAACACCTATCTAGTGGTGGAAAACTGCATTATTACTGTGTTAACGTTTATACGGACTCACGACTGGGTTTTGTTGTTGACACCATATTGTGAGGTCCGAATTGATAACAAACCCCTGTGTATCATGACTTTTACCTGCAGAAGGGTGCGAGCCCGTAGTTATATATGAGTACTGCTCAAGAAGAGATCAAATGAACTGGCCCATCTCTATCATCTGGAGGGTGCATGCAATAACATTCTCCCTTGTGTTTGACATTTTGCTTCAGGGAGTGCAGATTTGGCTTGGAAGAAAGAACACATGACTGAAAAGACGTGTTTTTTTTTTTTCTAAACAAAATTTGCACTCTGTTATGATGCATGTCAAACAAACTAGCCCAACAACTGACCATATTCAAGCATGCTAGACCTCCTGTCGAATGCCTTAGCAGAAAGGAAACAACCAATTCGTCTCAAACGAGCATGAAAATATGCGGAGAAGGGCCAAGAGTCGCTGAAGCAGCAACAGTGAACTTTAGTTTTAAGGGTGCGATAGCAATGAGTGACGCGCACGCTATTTGACAAGCATGAGTGCACGATTCGTGTGCCCTCCCACATGTTGCCATCTCAAAGTGAGGTGACTGGGCGAAAAGAGCATTTCTCTCTGAAGTGGTCGTATTCTCTCTCTCTCACCAGCGCTCTGTAGAGTCGCACAATATTCGATCGAAAAGAGTTAGGTGCCAACCTTACTTCTTATAGTATTGCTAAGTTTGTGCAATATTCGAATGGTTTGAATATTCGAACTAGTAGTAGAGTATTTGAATTTGATTCGAATTAAAAATATTGAAAATTTCGAAGTATTCGCAAAGAACATAGATGTATGTATATTAGTCCGCATGTAACTGCTTGTAAAGGCGGTTTCACTGCAGTGTATTATTTATTTATTTATTCATTTATTTTCAATGCTGTTAGCTGTATCAGGCTGTTACAAGGTGGGACAGTTTACAATACAGGAAAAGTAAACAAAAACAGCATAGCACAAACAGCTCAGTGCAAACTAAAAACTTGAGTATACACGGGACGAAAAACATTTAGACAAAACAACAGCACTGCAGTTATAATAAGAATATCAGCATTATACAACCAGTGACGGCAGTTTTTCGTCAAAACTATCGAGCGAAATCACATCATCAAATATTTCCGGGCTTAGTGTATTCCAGTCTTTAATTGTCTCACCAAGAAAGAATGCTTGCAGACATCAACTCAGCATACGTAAGGTCGCACAACACACAACGTAAGGGTGGAAGGATCGAGGTGATACTCTGCCTAGAGGCCGCAAGTAGTCTGGGATTGATGTTTAGCATACCATGATACAAGTGCTAAGCCACGAAAACACCTCTACAGGAAAAATCCGCTTTGCCAGAAGGCCTCCTTCAAATTTAAAGGGCTCCCTGCAACACTTTTAGGCATGGTCAGAAAACACTGCCATTCGGTAGCCAAGGCTACCGAGAAAACGTGAGTCAAATGTTATAGCAAAGGCTGCCATTCGGTAGTCTAGGCTACCGAGAAAACATGAGTCAAATGTTATAGCGCAGCATGTGGCCTTAAATCAACAATAAATCCCAGTCAGCTAAAATTGCTCTCTTCTCTCGGCAAATGACGCCACAACCTCAAAAAACCCTCGTCACAGTCATTGTATTAGCTATGGGCATGGCATGCTCGGTCGTTCCTGAGATTGCCACTTGTTTACGCGTACTTGTGCATTTGCACTGAAAAGCCGCTTAATCAAAGAACGAGAAAAAAAGTGCCGAAGTGCATGAGGCACACGAGATTTTTTTTCCTCAGCACTTTCATCGGGAGGAGAAGAGAGAGCAGTGTGCAACAAATCTTTGCAACTCTGCTTGTATTTGACGGATTCTAAAATATGTTTGTGGCGGTTAATTTTGCCAGGCAATAAGCTTCTTTAGTGAATCTATTTCATGGCTACTTGAAAAAGTTTGGCTGGGCCCCTTTAAATGAACCTATCACCCTCGAATCGATTTCTCATTTCATTAAAGGGGCCCTGCAACACTTTTTGAGCATGGTCAGGAAATGCTGCCGATCAATAGCAGAGGCTCCCGACAACATGCGAGCCAAATAATATAGCGCAGCATGCGGCCTGGAAATCACAATAAATTATCAAAGCCAGCTACAAATTCTTTTCTCTCGACAAATCACGCAGTAAGCCCAAACATCACTCATAGTAAGCCCATCTATCAGCTATTGGCTGATTTGAACATGGCGCATGCGATCGCACTAAAAAAGCCACGTACTTGAAGAAAAAAAAAAAGAAAAGGGTGCTCAAGGTTACGGCACGCACGTTACGTTTTTAGTTTGCCTCTCCCATTCCTCCCTGCTTAGCTTCCAGTGCTTTCGTCAAGACGAGAGAAAAGAGAATGTCATTGCAATGTGTGACAAATCTTCGTAACTCGCTCGTTCTGGACAGATTCTTAAAATTTTTGTGGCGTTGAATTTGTGAGGCAATGCGCGTTTCCAGTGAATCAATTTCATGGTTACTAAAAAAAAAAAAATTGGCAGATTCCACGTACAGTGGGAATCGATGATATGCGAAGCACGACTGAGACTGAGAAACGGTGATATGGCTCTTTAAAATCAGTGCAACGTTATGAGGCAAAGGTATATTATGCCGTACATAACTTCCATGTTATGATTACCATGTTTAGACGTGTCATTTACCTTCGTCATCTATTCACATAACCTGATATGAAATTTGGTGTATGTGGAGCTAGCGAAACGCCCCCAAGCGCATCATGAGCTTGGTATTGTGTCATGTTCTTACATGATACACTTGTCATGAACTCATGATTATTATGTTTGCACCAGTCATATAGCTTCGGCACCCATTGACGTCACATAGCACCAAATTTGGTATATGTGGAGCTAGCGAAACGGCTGCGAGCGCATCGTAAAGGGCCCAATATACTCCAACGTAACGTTGACGCGTGCGCACGCTGGGCTGTAAACGCCAAGCTTGTAAACCGCGAGCACTCAATAGTCTTATAGTCTGATGCCAGGGGCGACCAGCATCCATCAGCGCGGCCCGATGACAACCGACGCGAAATGCATCATGCTGCATTTCGCGTTGAGGACGTTACCCAGACAGCACTGCGTCTGCCTCTCTTCGTGACTGAAGGACGTAGGGCGTGCTCGAATGCGCACTAGTGGCCAGGGACCGGCCTTTATCAAAAACAAAGGCTGGTCTGGTTGCCAGGGACCTGCCATTATCAAAGATAATGGCCGGTCCCTGGCCAATAGCTCAGAATAAATATTGTTTGTTTCTCACTGTGACCTTTATACATACAGATATATATATATATATAGATATATGGATCACATATTGAAAAAAAAAAGGGCCATATTTGTCATGAGGAAACTAACCTGCACAATATTTCTTAAAAATTGAAACAATGCCTGTGCACATGCCACATTCTTTTTGGCTCAAGGAGTGCAACAGCTGCGCCAAAACCATGAAAATTGCTGAAATTGTGCCACGCTCCCCCGAAATGCCCAGCCAGCCTCGAGGTTTTCCCAGGTGCACTAATTTTGGTGTGAAATGCAGGCCACATCGGCCACCTGCAGTTTGAGCCAACATGGTGCAATCCCTGGTGGCAGTGGAATGCTGGGTAGCGTTTTGCGCTTTAAGACTACGTACGGACGCAGTTTGGTATCATACGCCAAAGCGCACATTACTGTGCAGCGTAGTTTGATGTTTCCACCTGTCAGTACGCTTACAGATTTCGAGCCCTTTTTCTGCAGAGCGGGCCTTGTCCATGGGCTGCTCGAAGCACACGGGCGTTCGATCAGCATTTCCCGCCTGGGAGAGCAAGTAGTTCTGCTTCTTCGGCAGCCCGATGACATAACGTTGATAGCTCAACAGCTAACCCTCGTAGGCATTCAGAAGCCGCTAGCACATGGTCGTTCGCCGCCGCATCAAAAATCCGTGCCTGGCATGAATCCCTGGAGCCATACGGCTCGCCCAAAACTCGCGTGAGATGTTCATTTCATAGGCCAACCTCAGCACTTCCATTTGCTTCATCTCGGTCGTCACAGTGTGGCCCCGATTCCTCCGCTCCTCAGTAAGTTTGGCAAGCTGTTTCTCATGAATGGGGTACGCACCAGTCTTCGGGCCACGAAATTCTCGCTTCTCCTTGCGTCCACTTTCGAGAGAGGCCTTTTTTTTTCGCTAGTCGCGAATGAAATACTCATCGACATCGTGCCTCCTCGCAGCCGTTCTGTTACGGATTTCTTCTGTAGCAGCTATAATCTTGAGTTTTTCTTTCGCAGTGAAAGATTGCTGCCGGGACCTACTCATGGTGCCTCACCAGACAAGGCTGAGCAACGGCACAAACTGGTTACACCTGACTCAGAGAAAGACTCTGTCAAATCGCTGTTGTCACACGCTGTTGACCAAATCAAACAAAGCACGGAAAAAGTGAATACGCACGCTACAGAGGGGATCTGTCTATGGCCTGCGTTCGCTTTTATTGGCTTTGCACCAAACGATGCCGATGGGAATGCGGACTGCACTGCATACCTTGCATTGCCATGAAGCCCACCTCTGCTTCCGGATTATTCGCAGATATCCTGCACCACCACTTTTTAGTCAATTTTTTTTCAATTACCCATTACTTTCTAGTGATCGAGCCATGGAGTTCTGTGGAACTTAGCCAAACCACTCAGTCCGAATAATAGAAAAATTTCAGTTAGTGACAGGCAAATGAATGAGATTTTATTGCAGTGACGTAGCAGCTAAACAGGAATGTTGTACTTTTTGCAGGGGAGAGCCAAGCACCTGTTGCTGGAAGAGGGAACACTGAGCACATGGGCCAACTCGAGCATGTGGTTGCATGGCAGCACAGCCCGTCAGCCTCCCTTACCTCCCCGCCGAAAGTTATGCTGCCCACTCCCAGCAATGTCTCTAAGCCTGAGCAGGGTTAGTCAATAAAATACTTTGCTATTGGATGTATTTTCAATATGTTTCTATACTTCATCTCGCTCCTACTTGGCAGCACTGCCATGTGATATTTCTTATATGATTCAGCCAGATTGAAACACTTGCATTTGTTTGGCACACAATATGGTACGTGTGAATTGTATGCTTTCAATTACTGTATTAATTACCACTGGTAATTGTGGTTACTAAGTGACGTGGCAGTGCCAATGCAGACAGAACTCTGCTTTTACCTGAACTTGGGCTTGCTACTTGCCATTGACCCTGACATCAAAAAGCCACAGGATACCTAATGCATTCGCCAAAGGTGACGGCAGTTTTCTTTTCCTTTGCCTTTGATTGTAATGATCAAGGCTACAAGGCACTTCACCGGCAAGGTGTGTACTGACTGGAAAAACTGAGCAAATCGGGAATTTTCAGGAAGTTTTAATAGTGTGGAAAAACTCCGGGAAAACTCGGTGAAATTGTGCTCCTATCAAGGAAACTAGCTGCAACTTTATTTTAATTGAATGAAAGGGTAGGTAACGCTCGCTTGATATTTTGTGAATGCATTTTTCTGGGCTTGTGCGAATGTTCAAATACTTTGAATATTTGAACAAATATTACAGTATTCGAATTTGCTTTAATACAAATTTACCTTATTGAAAATTTCGAAATATTCAAAAAGAATGAATAGGTGTAGATTCTTCCGCATGTGTCATTAAGGGTAACTGGCTGGATTCTCAGAGAAGGCTGACATGCGAAGGGAGGCGGAAAGTAAAGTGATCATATGAGATTAAAACGGGTGTAACGTGGCACCAGGAAGCACAAGACTGAGTTGATTGGCGGAATGCAAGCTTCTTTTCTTTGGCGAGAACACGCGCACTTGACTAGTCTACTTGGTGGCCTGCAAATTCTGAATGTTCATCAAGGGCATTCGAGGTCATGCGTCATTTAGTGAGATTTTATTTGTGTTGTTTCATTCTTTTCTTGGAATCACCGATCTCACCGATGTACTGGTTGTCACAATTGTGGCAGCCTCTAAAGAAGACCAGGGAAATAAGTATGTGCTCGGCAATTTGTCTTTCATGTTGAGTAATGCATTCTTTAGTGTCCATGTTGGTACATGCACCATTTTGATGTCTGTTGCTTCTGTACATCAGGCAGCATATCTGACTGTCGAACCACTATTTAACTTACGTCGGAAAATTTGTGCATATTTGTCTTGGCCACGATTTCAGCTCGGCTTGAAGACCTTCTGGTTGGGCTAAACTGCCATTAGGAGAGCCTTGCCAGGCTATGTCATGCCTTTTATGATTAGTACTAATATTATTGGCGATACATCGGCAAACGTTCCTAGCTGTGTACTTATTGGGGATTTCAAAAGTAGCATTGCGTAACTTCAGCTAAATTTCTCATTTCAGTTTCTTGAGCTACTGTTATTAAATGTGCGATTTTGAGAAGTATGTATATAAAAGCACGGTCCTTTAATGTTTTTTTTTCTGGTCATGAAACTCACGTGAAAGTTTCATATAGATACAAAAGTGGCCACCAGAGGCACCACTGTAAGCAGGAGAGCATTGACCGGCCGCGCTTGGCAGAGCTGTAGCGCATTCACCAAAGCGTTTTCATCAAATACCCTTCTTCATATATTTTCCTTCTTGGTGTTCTCGCTAATAAATCATAGCAGCTTTTAGTATTGTCAAGGTGGCACATGATCTGCATTGTAGAACTGCTGAAGTCCTTGATTGCTGGCAAAGTTTTAACTGAGTCTGTCTGTAAAGTGATGCGCATTCGTAGCACTTCTAAATTTCTCGATTCCTGCATAATCACTTTCGGCTTAAACCGAACACTGACTGGTCCTGAATGACTGAAACGGTAACATGTGTTGCGCTAGACATTGCAGAGCAATTGTGTGCTTTCTGAACCTAACATTCATTTTGGAAATAATTGTCACTTTATTGAATAGAGCACCACGAAGCAGCCAATAGAAGTTCGCATGCCAATAAACAAATCTGTATATCAGGGTGACTTGGCATTATTAGCCTTGAAGTACCTTTAAGGGATATCGTTAGTGATAAAGCCAAAAAATTTAAAGGTCAGAATGAGACACCACAAGGCAAAGAGGGATGCTCAAGTTGTGTTCTTGCCTTTTTTTTCTTTGATTTTGTAATTTGCACCCTTCATTATAAAGAATAAAAAATGAGATGAAACTCTTGGGAGCTGCTAGATATATGAACTACGAGCTATGAGTAATAGCAGTGGGTAACATTTTGATTTTGGCAACTACGCTATGCTTTGCAAGCAAATGTAAGCAAACATGTCGACGTGTTTATTTATTTATTTTTTCTGAAATTACCGAGAATTGTCAAGAATTCTAAACTGCCTTGAGCACAGGCACATAAAGTTTATTGCAATATGCGTTCGCTAAAATGTGGATGAAACTTAAAAGATTGAGTGAACGACACAGCAAAAATCATTGAAAAAATTTACGCCCGTGGATTCCACCCTCCTTTGGCCGGGCAGGATAAATGACGACTGTCAGCACGAAACAGTTTGTTTTGCTCCCGTGTGAAAAAATTCAGATGACATAAAAGTGCACAACTTCTGCCGTAGTGCTCACAGGATGTGTTCCACAGCCAACACTGGCCGAAGAAGAGTGGTCGTCCAGCAGTATGTTCTCAAGAAGAGTGGTCGTCCAGCAGTATGTTCTCAATAATGTTCACAAAAACACTGGAACAGGCTATTTCATCCACGGTGCCTGACTTTTATCATCAATTTCTTTGTTGGCTGCACTGGAGGCCTCTGTATTCACGACGGTCGCATCACGCTCTGGAGAAAGCTCTCGCGGCCTTTTTACAGGTGGGCTCTTCCCTTCGCGCGAACGCTGTTTCGGTTTGGAAACGTAAAAAGGCAAACCTCCGAAAATCCTATGTACAGCGTCTTCCACCAGTTTCGGCTGTTCTCGGGGCAGGGAAACGATGTTTCTGTTCGCTGCGTCCTGTCGTGGGATCGCACGTTTCCACCTGTCCCATTGCTCTGCATTGGCTGGTAAACAAAATAGAAACTTTTTCAACGGTGCCCTTGTATCCAGAGTGACAGCGTGACACACAGCAGGTGTTGGGCATCGCTGTCAATATTATACAATCCCGAAAAGCAAAAAAAGGGTGACCACCACCAGCATGACCACCACCACTCCGCGCCAAGAGTTCACTAATGGTGGCCAGTAGAGCAGCTGGCCAAGCCAGATTCCTCGTTTCCCTACTAGCTATGGCAGCGCCGCGGCACGAAAATTGTGGGCAGTGTATGAAGTTCTCCCATTGAGTGACGCGGGAGTTTCATGACCATAAAAAGTGTTGAAAAATCGTGATTCATCACGTGATTCGAATCACGTGATTTTTTATTCATCTACGGAATTGTGGAAGCTGTTACAACCTGACAGATTCCTTCTTGCCACCACATATGCAAACTTCACTGCTTTAAACGCTACCCCCAGCTTTCATTTCAGGCATCTGAGGCATTCCGTGGCCCTCCAAGCATCAAAGCCTAAGGAATTAAAACACGAACATGCATGTGCTCATCGTAAAAAAAAAAGAAGAAGGAAAATTTAGCAGTACGGCTCCGTTCTTGCGACGTCATTAGACATTGTCAAGGCAAGGTGCACAGGATACGCAAGTACAGTTAAACCTGGATATAGCTAACTTGACAAATTCCCGGAAAATTCATTATAATAGGATTTTGTTATATGCAGGCTCGGTGCAAAAATTAACTGCACAAATTAAACAGAAGAACTGAAGGCAGAGAGGTCAAGAACTGCATTATTATTATGATAGCAATTATATGGACACTCTTGGTGGGTTTCCGTTGTTGCGGCCGTGTTTCGTAACAAGTCGAACATGATAACATGCCCCGGCGCATCGCAACATTTACGAGCGGGTAAAAGCGCGGGACTGCTGCTGAAGCAGAGATTGAATTAGCTGGCTCATTTCTATCGCTTTGAGGGTGCATACGATAAGATCCCCCCGTGTGTTAGAACTGCCGTCGAATGCGGAAACATAACCCAAACCTCTCGTCTTCAAAAAGCATGAAAAAACACGGCTCTCAAGTAGCAACAGTGAATCTTAATTTTTAGGGCACTGTCGCGATTGCTGGCGCATGTGCAATCTCGGCAAGCATCAGTGCACTTTCAACGGGAAGAGTCTGACTGTGTGAGAAGAGCACTTTTCCCTGGAGCGGCTGTCTTTGCTCACACCAACGTTTTGTAGGAGTTCCGCGATATTGGGTCGAAAGAGAGTTGGCTGGCAGCCTTACTTCGTATAACATTGCAACTTGCTGCTATTGCACTAATTGCATTGCATTCAATGCTCCATCATGTTGCCAGAGCTAATTGGCTAATCGCAAACGCTACGTTTCTTTGAACTCTCCGCGCAGGGCAAGACGGAAGTGTGTGACGAGTCAATCTCCAAAGTTTCATCGCCGTCACTAGGGTCTTGGAGAGTTTCAATCAGCGCTTAATTTGACATCTCCTCGGGAGTGACGACACAGTTGTCTGTATTTCAAAAAAGAAAAAAGTAAAGCTGATTGTCGTCGGGGGCCACTCCATGTGTGCACAGTAAAACCATGCACGCGCACACAGCATTGAAAACGAAGGGCAAATGGCATGTGCACCCCAGAAAAATATTCAGTAAAGCGCTTTCCAAATGCATCGTGGCCCCACATATGTGACGCTAACTAAAAGTGTTTAACCGCCAATTCAAAATTACAGTAAAACCTCGTTAAGTCAAACTCGGTTATTTTGAAATCCTGCTTAATTCGAAGGATTTCCGCCATCCTGTACATTGCAATGTGTGTTTGAGTGGATAATTCAAAGCGGCGGCCGGCATCAGTCCGGTTAATTCGAAAACTTTGGGTGCAATGTGCCAGTTTCATATCCCGATTTCGCCGCAAATCCGCCGAAACGACGGCTCCTAATAGCCACAAGGCAGCGCAGCGTAGCAATACTAATTAGTGGTAGCTGAAGCACCTCAGCCTCGCTACTTCCACCGCAAAAAAAAAGGAGGAGGAAACGGTTTCGTGGTCAACCAAAACGTGTGCCTAAGGAAAGCTGAACGTGTTTCACTGCTACAGAGTGGTGACGCGCGGGCAGCATATTGCGTGTTTCTAGGAACGTCAGTGGGTCATAGTTCACTCATTCTTTCTGGGAACGTAAAAAAATTATTAAAGGACAGTTTGGCGGAATTTGCAATGTACGCGAACCTCCAATCGCCAGTTGCTCCAGCAATTTGCACCTTTGCACTGCTGGTGGAGTTCATGCCAGCAACACCTACTTCGTAAACAAAGTTTGAAGGTTTAAAGGATCATTTTTCCCAGCCAGAACACATCGCGAGTTTCGTCATACTGGTCGTTATTAAATTCCTAATTATACCAGAAAGAATGTGCAAATGGTCGCATCATGACGTGCTGACGCAGTGAGGTGCAGGCGACACGCTGCCCGTGTGTCACTACTGTGTTGCAGAGAAGATGTCTTGTTTTCTGCGGGTGCGCATTTCACTTGATTACGACAGCAGTTTTTTTTTTTTTTTTTCAGTGGCAGCACAAGGCCCACCATTTCCTTGTGTTTGCAGCAAAGTTAAGACAAGGTATTGCTGGAAAACAGAACCCTTGGAGTCGCAAGCTATCTGCCAGAGCAAACAATGAGCACTGATTACTTTGTACAGTTTTAATCTCCTTGCATCCCACTTTTTGAATGTTTTGTTAGTTCGAAAACCTGCTTAATTCGAAAATTTCTCGCGGCCCCAGTGACTTCGAAATAACGAGGTTTTACTGTACTTCTCTTTTTTTTGTGTGTGTGTGTGTGTTTGGAGGAAGAGGGAGGGCACATTTGAATGCGCTTATGGCAGCAAGAAAGGCAGGCACACCCGTGCACGCTCACTCTCCCCTGGAAGTTGTTTGGACCACGAGCGCATCGTACGCGCCACCGCTGCTTCACGCTCCATCAGCAGCAAGGCGGCTGTGGAAGATGCATGCTCGTGCCAAAATGACAAAATGCAGAGTGAAATTGCTAGGTTGTTCGTGGCAAAAATTCATTATATCAAGGATGTCTCGCGCTGTTACGTTACTATACAGTCGAGCCCACTTATAACGAATCTGAGCATGACGCGGCATCCGTTCGCTGTATCCCGAAGTTCCTAGTAAATGAAACACAGCCTTTAAAAAAAGTTGCGAGTGATAACACAAACTTTTCTTGCCCCAAAAAGTCCGTGATGCACGTGTTTCGAAGAGCAGAAGTGATAAAGGCGGTCTCGAGTTCATTTAAAACGGCAGGGTGCTCGTTCACCGAGGTTCGTGGCATAAGCTGCATGAGGCTCCGAAGTTTCGTCGTTCTCGCAATTGCATTCCTTCAAATCGCTCTCGCCACGTACTTCATTCACAATGCCCCAATCGGTGCACGGTTCCGCAGTGTCGGCATCATCATCGGCCATAATTAAACCATCGCAACAGATGTCCCACCCGCTCTTCTAAGTCGGAGTCGACGAAGCGCTGCCACACATTGCCGCCGCAGCGGTCCTGTTCGTAATCTTCAGGCTCGGCATTGGGCCCGACGTCGACGAAGTCAGCCTCGGGAAAACAGTTTTGTGAGCATGTAGCCGTCCCTGTCACCATCTCCGCAGCCGAATACCAGGACGCCCGAAGCGGCAAGTTGTCTGCCAGGTAATCAACAGCTATGAGCAAGCGCTCCACAACGCGGCACAAGACGCAGACTATCGGATACAGTTGGTGGCCGACGATGTAGGCAAATGGTCTGGTCACTCCAGGCCGGCTACGCCAACGACAGTGCCAGCGATCAAAAACAGGGGAAATGGCCGACCCATCTTGAAAAGATCAGTGGCAGTGTGAAAACACGGGCTCCGTCTGGCGATGCGGTGTGCTCAAAGTAGCGGGGGAGGGGGGGGACAAAGCACAGAGGGAGGCGTAACAAAAAGTGATCGGGGCATGGAGGAAGGAAACAGCTTTCCTTCCTCCATGGTTCGGGGAGAGCGGCAACTAGAGGGTCGCGGAGGCAGGGTCTGGTGTTTAACATTAAGAATGTATGGGCACCTCGCCGATGCCTGATCAATGGTCGAAAGTGGTTTGCCGAAAAGTCGGCAGACCGCTGACTCCACTGTAACCGATCAGCGGCGCTCGGAGGTGTTCGTTGTAACTGCGGTTTTGTGCCATTGAACCGATGTATATTTTCACGGTCACGCGGATATTGTTCTTTCTAAGGGGAAGTTCGTTTTAAGTGGGGCCGTTATATGTGGGCTCGACTGTATATAGGTCGCAAACGCGTGTGCTTCTATGAAGTAATGCTGGGGATTAGTAAAACTTTCTAATATCGAAGATTTTGTTATATGGAGGTTCGTTATAAGCAGTTTCAACTGTAGTAGTTAGTCTTATTTGCTGAAAAGTATATTTTTAAGGTGGGAAAATCAGCTGGGAATGCAAATCAATAGTAAATACGGGAATCCGGGTCGGATCAGATTCAATCCACATCCTAAATAGTAAAGTTAGTAAATACAGCAGTACAGCTCAATCTAATCGAATGCAGTCCACATCCTAAGCGGATGTGGACTGCGTTATAAGACATTATAGGGAACTAGAATATACTCCAATGGCTAAACCAACTGGGTCCCCGCGTCCTCCTTTCACATTGGTAGCACTAGATGGTGCCACTTCGATGTTTCCTAGCAGCTTTGGCCGCGTTGTCGGACTACCGTGAGCTCCTTCAAACTTTCAGCTGCGGTGAATTTCAATTCGTGTGTTTGCTTCCTGAGAAGGGTGGTGGATTGGGTTAGTTGACACTGCACGATACAAGACGGTGTAGCTCACAAGAAACACATGAGAGAAGGAAGGACGAGGACAAGCGCTAATTTTCAACTCAAGATATATTGGGAAATGAAAGAAATATATAAATAAGAACACTTGGCATTGTCTCAGAGAGAAACCTTTGGAAGAAAATGCTTGTTTTGTACGTACTGAATAAGTTGAAGATGTTAATCATAGCCTACCAGTTTTTGGTTAGGAACTTTACCAAAGTTATCGACTATTTCGAGGGTGTCGGCCGTCGACAACTTCACGGGGTCTTGATATATATAAAATATCTATATTACTTCCTTCTTCACAAAATATTGCTCGAAAGCATTTGGGAGAGTATCAAGTATTTGGGAGAATTTGATTTTCAAAACAAAGCCGGTGTTAATACGGGAGCTTTCATTGACCTCTTGTGCTTGTGCCTGACATCCACGTTTGTTGAGTGGAACCAGCGTGTTTTTTTTTTTTGCAGAGGAAACAGGTTTCGATCGGCTTGTGTATCGCGCCTCTGCTAAGTGATATATTTCTGGCAAAAGCTAATAGGACGCTTAACAAGATGTTGTCTGGCACGCATGTTGCAAGAATATTCTTGATGACTTTCTTGTTATCTTGTCATATTAATGCATGACACTCTTTTTAGTGGGCTTTATCAAGTGCTCAGAATTCTGTTTGACTCGACTGTAATGAAAACCAGGAGATAATGAAGCCAAGGAAGCTATTAGTACTGTGTATTATAATAATCGTGATATAGATGAGAGTTTTGTAGCTAAAAAGGAATGTTTTACACGTTGCAGAGAACAACAAAGCACCAGTTGGTGACAAAGTGGACTCTGAGTGCATGCGCCAGCTCGAGCTGATGATTGCACGCCAGAAGAGTCTCTCAGCATCCTTTACCTCCCAGCTGGAAAGTATGCTGACCACTCCCACCGATGTCGCCATGCCTGAGCAGGGTTAGTAGGCTATATATTTCACCATATTCTCGTAAAAATGTAGAATTTCGCCGATAGCCTGAATCATCAGACCATTGAGGGAAAACAGTGCAGAAAGGGGACAGGGAAGAAATGATCACATAACTCAAGCGCTGACAAACAACTGCGTGTAAGTTTATTACACCGGAAAATATAGCTGAAAACGAAAACAAGACGAAAACGATCACGTGCATATATAAAGGTGAAAAGCAAGAAGAATCTGCCACGAGTTGAACTGTCTGTTGTCAGCTCAATTTCGAACGGCATCAAAATTTCTTGGGCATTTTTTGGCTCTCATTCGTAGTGCAGTGCACTGCAACGCAGAGCGGTAGTTCCCATCGATTTATGTAATGGCTGGAGGGTACAAAGTTTCCCGACTGCATGGTGTTGCAGTGGTGGGAAACTTGCGCCAACTCGAAATTAGTGTGCCATACGGAAACTTCCTGCTTTAATGCTCCAGAAGGTTCTTTTTTGTCTATTTTGTGTCATTGCTGCACCACAAGGTAGTTTTGGAACTGAAAGTAATGTCAATGCGCATCGTGAGCGGAGATTAGGTGATGGTCACCATCTTGGAAACTTGCACTGCTGTAAAAAGCATGGGACAATGTCAATGCGCATCGTGAGCGGAGATTAGGTGATGGTCACCATCTTGGAAACTTGCACTGCTGCAAAAAGCATGAAATCGGCCAATGAATTATTCGGACTTACGTACTATATCAGTGGGGCCTTTTCTGGTAACTATTGACAAAGAAAGAAGATGATGTGGCAACTACCGAAAAGCGCGCCATTATGACTGACTTATCATCGACAAAAAGCCTACATGTGTGGTGTAGCGTCGCTTTAAGACTAGTGCATGTTTTTGCAAAAACGCCAAATGCTGCCGCCTCAATCATTGTGCGGGGCTGTGTTCAACGTGCGCCGCTTTACAGAAACGACAGCAGCTCGCTGTTGCGGAGTTGGGCGTTGTCGGACTGTCGCTTTATGAAGGGTACACACTTTCATGTGGCGACAACCCAAATGCGCCTCTGTTCACTGCCAGCACCGCTAAACCATCGCTTGCTGGAAGCTCACGTTATCGCGTTAACGTTTCAGGCTTCTCGCCGCATCTGTGCACGGTCCTAAGCAGAGTGGAAGCAAGCGGCTCAACACGGTGTGTACGCCGCCTATGCGAAGCGCTGCCCGCAACTAGCCAGTAGACGGTCGGCTTCCTGCGACCGCACTGCATCACAAAAAAAGCTGCGTAAATTCTCGCTAAGTCGCAGATCACAGTGTGCATTTAATGTAGACAGGCGGTTATGCCTGTATCGTCGCTATGTCAGTCAGTGCGTTGGCTGCGTATTCCGGGCTCCATAGTAGCGTCGAAATGCTCTTCAGTGTCCCCATTGCGTGTTATTGTACAGTCGTACAAGAATGCCAATCATTTCTGAACATTGGTGAAAAGAAAGAAATGAATTCGTGTTAGACAATTTAGGCAATATTTTCTGTGGTACTGTACTCATTCCTTCTTTGGCTGTCACGGCGCACGTAAAGAAATGCAAATTGCAACTTGGTCATAGGCGTGTGCACGGGCATGTTAGGGAGGGGGGGCACTGCAACGAACTGTCACCCCTACCCCTTGAAGGGAAACCATGTGCACGCTTGTGTGATTCATGGTTTATGCATACTGTGCGTTTAGTGTGCACTTAGCTCCGTTCCTGGCAGGTTCTCGGCATGTAAGTACATATACTGCCACCCACACATAGTGGGTCGACTGCAAGAGCGGCTCTACCATCCGGAGAAAAGAAAGAAGATTGCGTGCCTCTTCTCGGCTCGAGAGCCAGCCACGACTGACGCATCGTCCTAGAGCTAGCTACCCGGTCGTTCAATAAATCCCCCAGTACTTGTGACTCATCGTGACAAACTGGTGGAAGGTGCTGGGTAGTCTCACGGATGCTGCAGACCCCCCCAGGAAGCCGTAATACGAGTCCAGTGCCAGTCAATACTCCCGTGCATCGCCCTAGTCACCGAATCGGGGATTGCCTCTGGAAGTCTACGATCCTGCCCCCACAACGCCGACAAACATGACCAGTGCTTCGGTGGAAACCTCGCCAACCGGCACGGGAAGCACGACGTCGCACCGCTATACGTTATAAAGCCCACGGGCACCGACGACGTTCCATGGTACGGAGCGCGAAGACGTTGAGGACTGGTTGGCGGACTTCGAGCGCGTAGCCAACTTGAATCAGTGGGACGACGCGGCGAAACTGGGTCGTGTCTACTTCTATCTCGAAGACGGGGCTTGCACGTGGTATCAAAATCGAGAGGAGCAGCTCACGACGAGGCCCAAATTCTCTCGTAGACTTCTGCAGACATATGCCAGCGCTGACCGCCAAGAAAGAGCTGAACGAGCTCTTCTTGCCCGCGTCCAGTCTTCATACGAAATGTAGGTTGAAGACATGACGCGCCTATTCTGACGGGCCGATTTAAGAATGACGGAAGACAAGAAGTTGCGTCATTTCATGCACGGTGTCAAGGACCAGCTTCTTGCCGGCCCTGAGCGAAGCTCTCCGAAGATGGCCACGGAGTTCTTGTCCGAAGCCATGCCAATGGAAAAAACGCTGCAGCAGCGATACGACCAATAAGATAGGCGAGTCTGTGACATGTCCACTGCTGACATTTTCGCCGCCGCTGGGACCAGCAATGACTCCTTACGTGAACTCATCCGTAATATCGTACGTGAAAAGTTGCGAAAGGCTGGTGTAACACCTCATCCTACGGTTAGCTCTATTGCAACTGTGATCAAGGATGAGCTGCACCAGGCGCTCCGGGACACCTTGCCTCCTGATACAGCTGCGTCAGCTCCTGCTGAATACCACCGTAAGACAACCTACGCGGAAGCCTTGAAACGCCCTGCTGCATCGCCGCCATTGTTCGTTCATCCTGTCCCTGCAGTTTCACTCGAGTCAGCGCAGCACATACCATACTACGAAGGCCCGTACACGCCACCGCCCCTGCCCTTTGTCCGTGGTGCTTCTGTTGCCCATCGTTCGGTGCAACCGGTCCAGTACATCGACGATCGGCACTCGTCTCCTTGGAAGTCTGATGTCTGGCGCACACCCGATCACCGACCTCTGTGCTTTCACTGCGGAGAAGCTGATCACTTGTACCGCCAGTGTCCTTATCGCCGTCTTGGGCTTCGCGGCTTCTCTGCGTACTCGCCGCCACCCCGTTACGGTCAGAGACCACGCGACATCCAAAACTACCTCTCCCAGCAGTATGCACCACCGTCTGCCGGGCCCCTGTCGCGCTCGCCATCACCGAGGCGATTTTCATCAACGCCCCAGCGGTATTCTACCCCACGATCTCCCAGCCCCCGCCGGGAAAACTAGCCGAAGCGACCTCTGGGGGCCGGGTCGCTGAACGTTGAAGCGCTGAAAACCTCCTATTGACGCAGAACCGTACAGAAACTGGTCCGACATCACCTGCTGCTGCAAAGGATAGCCGGCTTTCACTCGACATAGCAGTAACAATTGATGGTTGTGTAGTTAATGCGTTATTGGACACCAGCGCAGACTATTCTATACTGAGCGGGAAACTGACAACGCAACTGAAGAAAGTAATCACGCCGTGGCATAACTCGCAGATTCGGACAGCTGGTGGCCATGTCGTTACTCCATTGGGCGCCTGCACAACTAGAGTACAGATTCAAGGGTACACATTCGTAGCAAGCTGCCTTGTTCTACGTGAATGCTCCCGTGACGTCATTCTGGGAGTTGATTTTCTACAGGGAAATGGAGCTATCATTGATCTGCAAGAGCGCCGCATCACGTTCTCAGCCCAGCGAGCAATCAACGTGCAGGATGACGGAATGCGTGTCGACATACTCCGTATTTCTGAACAGAGCGTGACGCTTCCTCCCCGAGCCAGTGTTCTAGTCGACGTAACATGCTGTGGTTTGAGCGATGGCGATGTGGTGGCCAAGACAAATTTAGAACACCTCCTGCAGCAAGGCATACGTGTAGCGAGAAGTGTAATACACGTTCGCAACGGCCGATCTGAATTGCTCGTTACCAACTTTAGCAACGAGCATCGACACCTTTTCCGTGGCACTTCGATAGCGTTTGCCCACGAAGTAGCAAACGTAACCAACTGTCTCACATCAGAAATGGTGGATAACGCAGACACATCAATGAGCAACATTGACATCAATCCTGATCTGTCCAACGATAACCAGACTGTGCTGCGAACGCTCTTGTTCGAGTACAGGTCTTGCTTCGCAAGTTGCTCAAAGATCCGCCAGACGTCCATCACTCAACACAGGATCATCACGTACGAGGACGCACGCCCAATACACCAGCACCCCTACCGCGTGTCGGCTAAAGAACTTGAAGCGATACGTACGCAAGTTCGCGAGATGCTTGACGATAGCGTTATCGAACCATCCAACAGCCCGTGGTCATCTCCAGTCGTGCTTGTTAAAAAGAAGGATGGGTCGCTACGCTTCTGCGTCGATTACCGAAAGCTTAACAACGTGACCAAAAAGGATGTGTACCCGCTACCGCGTATCGACGATTCGCTGGATAGACTTCGTCGTGCCCATTATTTCACTTCTTTCGATCTAAAAAGCGGGTACTGGCAAATCGAGGTAGATCAGCGAGACCGCGAAAAGACAGCCTTCGTGACTCCAGACGGCCTATACCAATTTCGAGTACTCCCTTTCGGCTTGTGTTCAGCGCCGGCAACTTTACAGCGAATGATGGACACTGTCCTCATAGGGCTCAAGTGGCAGACTTGTCTTGTCTACCTTGATGATGTGGTGGTCTTTTCTGCCACGTTTGAGCAGCACCTTCAGCGCCTGCGCAGCGTGCTGGAGGCTTTCCGATCGGCGGACCTCACTCTAGAGCCACAGAAGTGCCGCTTCGGCTATGAAGAACTAAAATTTCTTGGACATGTAGTTAGCGCCGAAGGAGTCCGGCCCGATCCAGACAAGCTTGCCGCTGTTG